AAAGCAGGAATTCCTACTTCTAAAACCCAAGTCCAGTCCCAGAGGAGAGACCTTGGACATCTTCACGTGGGCCAGACAGAGGGGGGGATGTTTCCAGAGTCCTAAATCTGCTTCAAGCTTTGTCCACTCCATTTCCAGCTGCTGCTAGACTTCCTATAATTCCCATTGACCTCGTTTTCACTTCATTTTGCAAATCATTTTAGGGTTGCTGTTTTTCATTTTCCTCCCTTTTTTTTTAATTTGTTGTCGCTTCCCTCTGAACTGGAGTTTGTCATTTAATCAACTTAGACTCAGATAGCCTGGAGGGTGTTTGGGGAAGGGGGGGAGAGGGGGGAGAGAATGAAAACGCTAATGTCACATCACCTCCCTAAAATGAGTTTTAATTGTAATCCTTTAATCCCTCTCAGATGGCCCTCTCTGCACTGATGTTTTTTCATAATTATTCCTTGCCATTTTCCCATCGGTCTAAGGAGTGTCTTCAAGAGGGAGGGGGTGGAGAAAAGGCTCCTTTTATAAAATAATAATAATGGGCCAAATTAAGACACAAAGAGGGAAATAACAAGGGGGCAAGGGCTGCCGAGGCAGAATGGGGATTATTAATGCCTCTCTCCCCCTCCGAAATTTCGGTGACTCTCAGCCACCCCAATCAGTGGGCAATTGAGGCTTGTTTGCTCAAGTGCATACCCTCCTACAATGACCCACATTTAGCCAAGTGGCTGCATTGACAAAGTACCAGGTGCGCAGGGCTGGAAAACTGCCTCAAGATGCAGCCGCTCGCTCGGTCCTGGCTACCCAAAGGGGTTGGGTGCCTCCAGGATGTCACCCATAAGACGCAGGGACAATGCAGTGCATGGGAATATCCCTCTCCGAGCACCTCTGAGTGCTCCTCTCCCATCCACGGAGGTTTCGAAGGGCCGGAGCGAAGCTGGAGTGTATGGGCTTGGACTCATGGAGCATTCCTCGCTTTTCCAGGCGTCATGGCACCAAAACACTTCACCACCTGGTTGCCTCCTTCCCCTACCCTGTCCCCATGTCAACACAGAGGATCTTGTCCGTCCCACTGGCTGGAGATCTGACGCCAACTCCAGGGATGCGCCGGCAAAAATAGGGAGCATTTATAGACCTCTGCATTCGGGTTTAATCTGCAAAATCTCTTGTAGGGGTCTGACGGGAGTTAATCCATCCCTAACATCTCTTTCACACTCACTCAGTGATCATGGCTCCCATGCCCCTCTCCCTTTCGGCTGTATCTCCCCAACAACTGGCAATTCCCATGACAGGCTAAATCCACAGCACACGGATTAAATGGACAGTGCACACCGGCCACCCGGCCCTCGGGAATGGCGGGTGGCAGCCAGCACCATCCCCAAGGGAGAGCGATGCTCAAGTGGACAAATTGGGTCAGGCACCAGCAGCGTTAGGGCAACAGAAAGGATCCCTTTAATTATCAATTAAGGAAGAGGAAGAAGTGCAACGTGGCTAGCGAGGCACAGTGGAAAAGCTGGACAGTGGGGTTTCACCTACAGCCTTCCCTTGGGGTTGGAAACAGGGAAAATGGACAAAACAGGACCCCCAGCCCCATGTTTTGCTCCAGATCAGGGGTTGGGGGCTGAGTAGCTCCTCCACTGCCCAGGGTTCCTTGAGAATTCCTTTGAGAATTTCAAATTCCTTGAGAATTTCAAATTCCTTTGTCATCACTGGAACATTTTGGTGGGAATTATGGCCAAAGTTGCCAACACAATCACTTGCACAAGGCCTCGGCCTTCCCCGACGCTTGGCACCAGCAGCAGTGGAGATAGGATTCAGGGCCACGTTTTTCCCTGAATATGGGAAATACGGGAAAGAGGGAAAGCTGGCAGGAGAAAACAGAGCAGGGATTTTGCAGCGTTTTGCCCTGCTCCAGCCCATTTGTCTTTGCTTTTCCTCACGCCCATAAGGCTGGCACCAAGGCGTGGGAAGCGAAGCTGCAGCTGTGGGGCCACCCCCAAACCCGCTGCCATCCCCGCGGGGGCGGCCTTGGGGAAGGATAGGAGGGGGGGAAAAAAAGAAAAAACAAGAAAGGAGGAGGGATGGCAAAAAAGAAAAATGGGGGAAAAAGAGCCCCCTTTAAAATAAAGAGGAGGAGGAGAAAGCGAAAGGATGGGGGGGGTGTAAAAATCGTTAGCACTAATTATCAGGCAGAGGGACAAACGATTAATTTGCAAGTCAATTAGTCTCGGGTAGATTCACGTTTCCTGTTCTCAGCCACTGAGGGGGAAAGAAAGAGGGAGACACAACTGCGGCCTTAATCCGCCTTAGGAGAGCGGCCATGGCAGGGCTGCCTGTCTGTGCCAAGGCAGAGGGAGGCGGGGGCCACGGCTACAGCTGGCACTGCCGGCGCCAGGAGGAGGAGGAGGAGGAGGCGAGGTGGCCGTTATGTGCCCATCATCGCGCCTGCCGTGCAGCCACGGCCGCCCTCGCGCTGCCGCCTTCTCCCCCATTTGGGAGGCCCTGGGCGCCATTTTGTCTGTGGGCGCCCGGCGGGGAGGTGCCTTCATGGCGCCCACAGAGGCCTGGGCCCGGCCATTGTCCTCCCCACGCCGCCCTCAGCCCGGCCTGCAGAGGCCATGGTGGTCGGTTGGCACCGCCACGGCCTGCGGGTGCCATGGAGGCACGGGGGCTCCATGGCGGCCGTGCTGGGAGGTGGCATCATGGCAGGCCTGGCGCTCAGGGCGGCCGAGATGGCGATGGGGCCACGTCCTCCTTCCACCAGCAACTAGCCGGGAGAGCAGCTCACCTCAGCAGCCCCCAAAAGCTCCAGTTTTAGCCCCAAAACTGCGCTCAGAGCAAGGTCCTAAGAGCCACCATGGCAGCAGGGAGTTGGGGGACAGCCAGAGAGGAGCCCAGGAGTCTGGGCGGGAAGGGATGCGGAATATCCTCCCTCAAGTATGGCAGTAGCGAAAATGTGGTTTGGTTTGGTTTGGTTTGGTTTGGTTTGGTTTGGTTTGGTTTGGTTTGGTTTTGGTTTGTTTATTTTTGGTGCCACCTCCCAGCACTAGTCTCAGTACCCAAGAAGAGGGGTGTTTTTTTAGAAACATCTGGAATCACATAGAAAAACAAAAACAAAGAGAAAAGAAAGGAGAAGGAAAAGGGGCTTGAAGCCGCGGCACAATGCCCCAAAGCATGGCCTCCAGAAATGAGAGGGCTGCCATCCTGCTGCTCCTCTAAACCGGGATCCCCAAACCGAGATCCCTCTCAGAGAGCTTGTGGCTCCATGCAGTAGCTCGATTTTGGCGTAAAGCACCTATAGATTGGGCAAACAACTAGCCCCAGCCTAAAAGTGGCCCTTTCTCTTTCTCCAATGTTCAAAAAAAAAAAAATTGCATGAGTGAAAGGGAAAGCAAGGGACGAAAAAGAGGAAAAAAACAAACAAAACCCAAGCATTTTTTTGTTCAAAGTGGCTAATTCCACCTAGAGAGTCCACAAAACACAGACAAGGACCCTGATAGAGCCCCAGAAATGCTCAGGTTTTCCCAATGACTTGCTCCAACCCCGTTTTCCCGCCCCCCCATTCCTCTGCTCCGTGCATTAACTAGAAATGAAAGTCTGCAATTTCTACCCGTTCCACCGTGGTGGGTAGTTGCAGGGCAGTGATTGCACAAACTGCACCGGTTTTGATTGCTTATGGACAGGGAGGGAAAAAAGAAAGTGGTCATACTCCATCATCACCCCAGAAACAAACAAACAAACAAAAGAAAGGTGTGAAAATTCACCACAGTTGTTATTCTTTCCCTTTAATCATATTCCAAAAATTTCCATAACTGATTAGCCCTTGGACCTGATTTGATCAGGGATTGTTTTTTCAACCCAAACTAGTTGTGAGTGTGATGAACTCGAGTGCAGAAACTCAGCCTGCTGCACACCTGGGATTTTGATGCACATGTATTTTGGTGCAATTTTAGATTTTTTTTTTTTGAATTGTACACACACACACACACACAAAAAGAACACTGGTAAAATATTTAATTTACAATAAAGAATCAATTCAAACCCCTGGAAATAATTAGTGATACCGTCAGACTTTGCAGCACAATGGAGACATATTGGTTTCCACGAGCCCAGGGTCTTCTAAAAGACTAAGATTTTTAGTTGAATTTTTAAGTGTGGCCATTTAAAATTTTAATATAAATTGCAACATTTTGTAAGTTTCTTTAAATGACGTTTTTGTGTGTTTTTAGACATTTCCCTGTTGTTTATTATATAGAGAAGCATTTCTTCTCGTGACAGTAATAATGTAGCTATTTTTTTTCTTTTCTTTTTTGAAGCTTCTGATTTTGAAGCTTTTGAAGCTTCAAATGATCACTGCGATATATGTCTCAAGAAGAAAACGATTTTTTTTCGTTTTGTTAAAAAAAAAAAAAAAAAAAAGAAAAAAAAAGAGGTGGGGGGAGAGTAAAGGTGGGAGAACTACATTTAATAACTGGCATAAATGGGATCCTGCTTGACCCGACAAATCCTGGGCAGCAAGAAGGCTTTGTCTGGAAGCGTGGCAGCCGAGATTTCACACTTCCTTCCACACAGAGCTTGTACCAACATCAGAAACACACAATATCACCCCAAACTTCCCCCACTCTCCCACCCCAGTGTATTTAGAGGAGAATATTTAACTTCAACGATTTTCCGAAGGAGAAAAAAAAAATGAAGTCGGTGAATTTCAGGATTTTTTTTGCGGATTTATTGGGTAGAAGAAATAGGGGAGAAGCGGCAGCAAACGATGCCGGAGTTCGGCAAGGAAGGAAATGGGGGAAATTGCGGGGTATTTGGGACTTTCCCACGCCTTCGCCTGCGGGCGAGAGCGCTCGCACCGCCTCAGCCGTCGGGGGGGAGGCTGCAGGAGGCAGGAAAACAGCAGGAAAACGGCCAGAAAGGGAAAAAGAGGAACATTTCTCCGAGAAAAGGAGGGGGAGAGACAACCTCGACGATGATAATAGTAATAATAATAATGGAACAGTGATAATACCCAGTCAGGACGGAGCAAGAAGCAACGGGGTATTCTAGGCTCTGCACATCCCGCTCCGATGGTAGGGACAGGACCATTTCGACGCGATTTTTTTCCTCCTCAAATACGCTTCTTTTTTTTTTTTTCTTTTTTTTTTTCTTTTTCTTTTTCTTTTTTTTTTTTCCCTACTCCCGCAGGTTTTAAACCGGGGTATAGCGCCAGCATGGAGCTCATCGCTGCCGGCAGAGCCCTGATTGCAAACGAATATTTGCTCGGGTTGTGAGCCGGGTGCGGGGAAAATCCCTTGGCAGCGCCGGAGGAGGCGCCGAAAAAGTGGGGAAAGAGTTAACTTTTTGTCATTTCTATTTATTTGTTAGTCCTGTTTACCTCGCTCCTAATCTGGGGTTACTCCCGTCAGCTGTACATCAACTAATTTAATTTAAATAGTAATAATAATAATAAAAAACTTATTTTATAATCAGATTTGGGAAGGGGAAATCTCCGTTTATGATTTTTTCCCCCGCTGCCTGCTGGATGCGGTCATTATTCTTGCATTTTCTAATGAAACCTAAGATTACAAATTAATTAAATTGCTTTACGCGCACCCCTCCCTCCCCCTCCCCTCCCCCGGCTCAATCTGTCATTTTTGCTAAATTTGGGGCTAATCGTCAATCAATTGCAAATATCCCCCCAAAAGCGTAGGGGGGGTGGTTTCTTTTGCACTATTTTTTTACCAGGAAGGGAGCGAGTTTGGGGCTTCTCCTTGCAGGGAGTGGAAAAAATCCTTGCACCGTGTAATTCCATCACCCATGGATGCCACATCCAAACTGCAGCCCTGCAATGGTTTGAAGCGTGCAACTTTCAGGAAAAAGGAAAAAAAAAAGAAAGAAAAGAAAAAAAGAAAGAAAGGGGAAAAAAAGGAGTCTCAAAAACATATATTTAAAAAAGAGCATTTTTTTATGTACAATCAGTTTGTCAGGAGTTTACAGAAGAACTGTAAATCCTGAAAAATGATAAATGATCTGTGTGGTTTAAGCTTTCCACTTGATCCTCTGCTATTAATTTCATTGTTTTTAATGAGTGGCTTCTGTGTGCCTAAACACACTTCCTATATTTTTAGCCATAGCGATTAAATATTGTTTTGTTGGTGGTGTTTTTTTGTTTTTGTTTGTTTAATTCACAGCTCATTTAGAAAGCACTGCAACTGGATTAAAAAAAGAAAAGAAAAAAACTTTCAGATTATTCCCTTTTTCCTGCTGGCATATGCAGTCATTATTTGATCGTTTTTATTGAAAGCAGGGTTACAAATTGCATGTTTCATATCACCTGACAATTTAAGAAATGGAGAAAAAGTCTTTTCCACAGTATAGAAACTAATGCATTTGTTTGCTTCATGCACATACATATGTGCATTTAGACTCATATAGATATACATTTACCTATAGCAATATTATATTTTATATCTGTCTTAGACTCATGCCACTTGCCAAGCATGGAGTTTTTCATCTTATACTCATTTTTAACCACAGTTTTAGAAGTCAAAGTGTTTCTGAGGACCTTTTGCATGCTGAAAAACATTAATGGGGCTAATTATTTTTGCAGCCCCCTCCAGTTTGCAACTTTCTGGTGCAGAGTGAAGCCAAGCATCCTGAAGAAGCTATGGGCCAGGACAAGGTGGTGGTGATGAAGAGATGGACCAGGGCTCAGTCCAACATCCTCTCCTTGCAGGTCTTTGCAGCCCCAAAAATCTTGATCACCTCCATGGGACTGAATTGCTTTGTGTCAGCCAGCTAGCAAATATTTGACCCTGCAGTAGATTAATGGCACACATGGTCCAAAGGTTAAGGTGGACCCTCCTGTGTCCTCAGAACAAAGCTTAGCTGGTAGCCCTCATTTGTGGCTTGTTTCTTGGGCATTTCTCCCATGTAAAAGCCCTTTTCTATCCACCGCCTTTGCCCAGCCTTTCTGATAAAGCCAAGTTGAACGTGGGGCTGTGGACCCAACACCGAGCCTGATGATGACTGAGACTGCCTCTATCAACTTGCTTTGTTTAACCAAGGGAACATAACCACGATGTCTCTCTCTTTATTGTCCTCTTATGAAGCAGTCAGGGTTATTTCCCTGCTATTGCTGGTGTTAGGTATGCCCTACATCAGTCCTTCCTAAGCCCACAGCAGCAAGAAAATAAAAAACATTATCCTTTGGAAGACAATAAAGTCATACATGCATACCCTTTAATTAAGCAGAAATACTTTTTGATAACATTGTCTGGTCTGCTCGTTCCTTTCTAATCCTGATAACTTTGATTCAGCCTTTATCTAAGGGATCACCTTCTGCCAGCATGAACCAGCCTGATCCTTCTGCTCTCAGTAAGTGTGATTGTGATTTTTTTTGGCCACTTAATGGTGACCAAAACCAGGGTAATTTGCACCAAGCAGCTCAGACCTGCATGCTGTTTAAGCTGCTGTTTTATTACGTTTGGGACCAGTTGGGGCTGCTCTCCATGGGTTTCTCCCATGCAGCGGGAGTTACCGGATTTAGCGCACAAGGGCTTCTCAGATCACTAATCCTGTTAAACTTCCACAAACATATGGGGCAAGAGCCACCAGCTGCCCAGTGACGCAGAGAGAGGGATGCTCGGAGCAGGAACAACCCCAAAGCCTTAGGAACCCCATGCCAATGCATTAAGCTCACGGGGTCCCATTGAGTCTGATATCCGTCCCAGACAAAGCTTGCTAAGAACCTGTCACCTCATGGGCTGGATGGATATGGGATACAGGAAGGGAAAGCACATGTCCACAGACATGATTCCCCTTGGATTCTCCCATACCTGCTGCTGTACAAGGACTCTTTGTCTGCCAGCCCAGGGCCGTGGTGCTGTGTGCTCCATCGATGTTAACTACTGGGAAATAAATGGAAAAGGCCCCAGCTCCTCACTGCAGGACCACCACGTTTGCCCCCTCCCACATTGATACCATGCTGAGTTGCTCCCATAAATATTGTTTGAAGATATTACAGAATCACAGAATAGTTAAGGTTGGAAGGGACCTCTAGAGATCATCTAGTCCAACTCCCTTGATCAAGCAGGGACACCCAGGACACACAGCACAGGGTGGCATCCAGGTGGGTTTGGAGACCTCCAGAGAAGGAGACTCCACAACCTCCCTGGGCAGCCTGTGCCAGGGCTCGGGCACCCTCACAGTGCACAAGTTCCTCCTCACATGGAGATGGAGCTACCTGAGGTTCAACTTGCACCCATTTCCCCTTGTCCTGTCACTGGCCACCACTGAGAAGATCTTGGCCCCTTCCTCCCTACATTCTCCCCTCCTGTATTTGTCCATGTTGCTAAGATCCCCTCTCAACCTTCTCTTCTCCAGGGAAAACAGGCCCAACTCACTCAGTCTTTCCTCTTACGATAGATCCTTCACTCGCTTAATCATCTTTGTTGCCTTCCACTGCACCCTCTCCAGAAGCTCCACATCCCTCTTGTACTGGGGATCCCAATATATATAATATATTTTTATATATATTATTTATATTTTATCATATCTATATATTTTTTATATATATTATATATATTTTTATATATAAGTATATGATATATATTTATCTATAATATATTATAGATAATATAATATATAAATATTATATTTATCTATTATATTTATATATAATATTTATAGAGGGCAGCTCCCAGTCTCCAGACTCTCCAGATCCAGATGAAACCTAAGGAATGGAGCAGGGGGATTCTCTGGTGGCAAGACGAAACGAGCACCCGCCAAAGCACAGAGCCTGCTGCTCTTCTCCCCACTTTTCTCACTATATTTGCTCTAGCTGGCTCCAACACGAGGGCAGCAGAAAGAATTGTGCTTTTGATTTTTACTTATTATTATTAATAGTATTAATAGATTGATAATATTATTTTATTGATAATAATATAATAACCCTGTGAGAGCTGCTCCCTGTTTCCCAGGGTGTTGGGGCAACATTGCCAGTGCTTTCCCGCGCTTCTGTCCCATGTCAGCCTTGCTTCCTGGAGCAGGCATATCCAAGTGGTATTGCAAGAGCCAGCCATCAAAAACTCCAGATTTGAACCAAAAAATCCCCCAAACAGCCCATCCTCCCCATCTGAGAGCTTTTAAGGGTGTTATCTTGGCGCTTTCTGTTCTGGCCAAGCATAATTTGACTGCCAGGACTGGAGCACCTGGGAAGCATCATCAGTTCATTGCCAGGGTTAAAGAGCTTTGCTTCTCTCCTCCCTATTTGTGAAAAATAAAGAAAAAAAGAAAAAAAAAGAAAAAAAAAAAAGGCAGTTGGGGATAGCACCAACACATGGCTTGGTGGGTGGAGTTGGCTGGGTGTTTTTTCTGACGGAAAAAGGAAAAAAGATGACAGTTCTATCTAAGAAGTGAGGGAAAAAACCTCAAGTATTGCCAATGAATTTGAAATACCCAGTTCCACTTCTGATTGCCTTAGCATGATCAGTCTTGCATCTATGGAAAGTCTGCTCAGGAAAAAAACCTCGTTTTCTCAGCAATTGAAGAGAAACTATTCAGAATGGGAATGCCCATGGGAAAGAGAGGAACAATTTGGAGACGACTTGAATTTTTTTTTGGTGGAGGAAAGTGCGAGCAGATCCCTCGCAGGCTGGGGGAAGGGACCATCTGGAGCTACTTGTTGGGACCGGAGCAGCAGCAGATGCCGTGGCCGATCGGAGCAAGGAGCGGGGCTGCTCGCCCAAGCGCCGTGCAAGCGAGCGGCTTCCCTGGCTGCCATAGAAACCCCCGGTTAGCTGCAAGGGTGGTCCTGGCATGGGATTCATCCGGTTGTTTTCCCCTGGGAAGGGGGAAAAAAGAAGGGGAAAGAAGCAGGAAGCAGCCGCTGCATCCCGTGCATGTCCCCAAGAGCCACCTCAGAGCACCAAAATACCCCTTGGGATGAAAAAAATAGCAATAAGGTGAAGAGGAGGGTGAGAAAAAAAACATAGGGCAACCCCATCCCAACGTCCTTCCCCCTTTGCTCCCAGCCCGGCTTCCCCAATAGCTTTGCCAAAGGGGCTTCAGGGCAGGAGGAGAAGGGGACAGAGGGACACTGGGGACAGAGGGACCCTTGGATGGGAATTTTTTTGTCTGCTACGGCTGCAAAAGTGCTAAAAAATACTAAAAAATAAAAGGAAAAACAGTTGAAAAAAAAGTGACTGAAATATTGTGGCCTTTTCTCCTCAAAGAACCAAGAAACCCCAACATAGCCCAGATGCAATGTATGCAGGGAGGCAGCGGCCGGGTGCCCTCGTTAACCCGGGTGCTGCTCCGGGGCAGCAACAAGGTAATTTAGTTATATCAGGCTCCTGTGACAGCCCGGCTTGGGTGTCACCTATTCAAGCGGATTTCATGCCCTGCCACTGGCCGTATCTCTCTATCAGGACAGCCCACGGAGGTCTCGGCACAGCTGTGCCCAGAAACAAACTCCCTGGGCGGCCCCAAAAACTCGGGATTTTCACCAGAGATCTCGTTGTTTGGGGGTTACATCTGCCTTTTTTGTTGCCCCCAACCCTCCTGCTTCTCCCAAGTGTGTGCAAGGGGATCACCTGCCATCGGCTTGCTCTGCTCGGAGCATCCCTAAAGAAACGCGGGCTCCAAGCAGAGTCAGTATAGAAAATCCCACTGGGGTTGTTAAAATCCTAGCATGAACTCCTGGGCTTGGCCTGGAGTCACCTGGGCTCAGATGAAGAAACTAAGGCCTGGAGAACGCTCGTGGCCACCTCCATCCCACCAAGCCCTTAGCATCCTTCCCGTAAAAGGATTCGGTCCCTTCATCTTCCAAGGGGAAGGAAAACCCTCTGGGATGCCTGCAATGACCCTGCTGTGGTGGGATGCCAGCACACAGGGTAGTCCTGCCCCTGCACTGGGACACTTGCTCAGAAAGGGCTCGCCAGTGGATGGGTTATTGCTCAAAGACTGGTGGAGGACGTTGCTTTTTCTGCTCAGGAACGAGCCCTTCGGTCACCACCTCCTGCTCGCCTTCCCCAGCTCCTTGGTTCACAGACAGCCACGGTCCAGGTATTCCCAGTGCCACAGGGACCAGGATAGGAACAAGGATGCAGCTAGGGCATAGGAGGGACCCTCAGCGCTCGCCTGGGCGCTCCCGGCTCATCTGCATGACAAAAACCCCCCTTCTTGCGAACTTGGGTGACCTCCCGACCTCGCCAGCGCCGCGAGTGAATAGCTCCAGTCTGCGACTCCCATCATGTCACTTTGATTAGCGCGTGAATAAACTCTCAATCCCGGCGTGGACGGAGGCAGCGCCGAGCGGGAGCGGCGCTGGCGCCGAGACGAGGCTCGCGCAGAGGCTGCGCTCCAAAGCGGAGGCTGGAGCAGCTTAAGTGATGCACGTCCTCGCCCCTTGCAATGCTCTTTTCTCCCTTTGCACCCCGATTCCAACATCTTAGGCATCGCTCCTGGGCTGAGGAACACTGAGAAGCACTAAAATAAGGGGTGTGATACCCAGTGGTCTGATGGGCAGCTTCCCTGAGCCTGGAATTTCCAGAGAAAGCAAGTTTCCCATGGGCAGGCAAAGAAGTTTGCTGGAACTGACAAAAATGTTGCATCCCGACTGCCAAAATATCACCGTTCGA